CTTCCTTCCTTCCTTCCTTCCTTCCTTCCTTCCTTCCTTCCTTTTCCTCTCTATGTCTCCTTCCTTCCCTTCCTCTCTCTCCCTCCCCACTTTCCACCTTTCCTTCCCTCTTCCCTCCCCACTTTCCGCCTTTCCTTCCACTTTTCATTCCCTTTTTTGTTTGTTCCTCTTTCCTTTTTATATCCCTGATGCCTAGAAGGCCCAGAGTTATTACAGTCATTGTTGCAATTATTGATTAAATTTTACATTCTCTTTGGCCACAAGAGATGGTAGACGGTGAATTAAAGGAGAGACCAATTTATGCAGAACCAATTGGAGCTGGAGCTGTTTGGAGAGGAAAAGATGGCTAGTAGTAAGGTACAGATCTCTGAACTTATTTAAATGTACAAAGGCTGAGGGATGTTATGCTTAAATATTGGTTCTGTGAGTATGTTGAGAAATAGCTTTGCTGGCTGGAATCTTCCAGGAATTGGCCTACTGATCAGTATTTTGTAATTCCTATGAGACAGAACCTGGGTAGGAGTTCCCTTATGGAAATGTTGAAGATTGTGTGGGAGAATGGGATGTGTGTTTTGAGCAAGGATTTGGGACAAGGAGCCAATTGCTTTCCATCAGATTAGTCTTTGTCAGGGCTCAATCTGCTTGTGAGTTATTCTGGAGTCCATTTCCAGCAGGGCCATCTGTTCACAATTGTCCTACCATCTGACCATTTACCCTCTGTCAACTCACCTCCCCTGGACCCTCCCACTGCCAGTTAGAGTCCACCCATTGTCCAACCTGGGTAAACTGAGTCTGAGGAGACACTGGGCAGGAGAGAAGGAAGGAGAAGGGAGACCTTTCAATGCATTGGCATTCAGGGCCAAGATGTGTTTGGGGAGGCCCAATGAAGCCTTCAGACAGAGCTTGAGGAGAGAGCATGTGGCCGAGCCAGAGCCATATTGTGCCCCAGGCAGTCTGATGGCTCCATAAATAATATTGATGCCTTTTGTTTGGAAACTCTTTGTGGAGGCTTCCCATTTCCCAAGAAGCCATGCTAAATGCTGGGCCTCCCCCAAGCCAGTTTGCCTTTTGCACAGTCCCTGGGCCAACTGTGCAGGCAGATGAGGGGCCCTGAATGCTAATGAGAGGAACGGCTGGCATTCCTGAGGCACCCCAGCTCTGGGAACCCCGCCTTTGTTGCTAAGGAGCATTGGAACTGTAGCTGAAAGGCTCTGACAAGAGGGGGGAGAAAGGAGAGAGAGAGAAGAAAGGGGAGCATTTGTTTCAGAGCTTCACAGTTCTCTGGCCAGCGCCAAAGCTGTCCAATTTCTGATCCCAATTAGAATATCAAACCCCATTATTGTTTCTCTTAATGATCTTGGGAAATTCCTTTGAAGAGTCAGTGAGCACTTAGCAAACCTTTTGGACAGCATGATCTGTACAGTTGTGCTTCTGCTTGTGTGAACAGATCACGCCAAGCGTCCTGAAAACACCCTTTATTCTAGTCCCCAGAAGGCTGTCATGAGGCTGGGAGAACTAGAAGAGGGTAAAAGCTGTTGAGTTTGTAAAAATGTTTATGTGAGAACTCTATTCAGCAGACGTTTTCCAGGTGCCCACTTGCTGGTGAATCTGGGCTCTGTGCTGGGACAAAGATATGCAAGACTTTGGTTCTGGCTTGGAGGATCCTCAAGATGCACCAGGGAGACAGACCACACATACTAAATAGAATTCTGTGGGTTATTTGCTCTTCCTGTTACCTAGAGAGCTCTGTTGAACTTGAAGTGTGCAATGCATTCTAATCCTGGCTTAGTCACTCATGAGCTGTAAGTCCTTAGGCAAGTACATTTACCACCTGGAGACTCAGTTTCTCATCTGTACAATGGACATAATAATAGCAACCAGCCCATAATAATAGCTGGGTTACAATGAAGAGTAAGTGCAGGTGAGAATGAAGAGCAGGAATGTGGAGCATATGGCTTCTGCCTTCCAGGATTCCACTACCAGTTAGCCAGCTGTTGGCTTGGAAGATGTCTGTACCTGGAAAAGGCAATTAACAATTTGGCACATTGGAAAGGGTAAGTCCTAAATAATAATATAATACTAAGTCAGTTTTCCTTTCTAAAGCATGTCTATGTGCCAGGTGTAGTGCCAGGCAATTTGCAAGCATTCTCCCCTTCAGTAGGAAGGACTCTGTAGGGTAGGCAGTGAATAGCTCTACATCACACATCTGAGAAGGTCTGCCCAATTGGCAAGATCCAGCCTCTGTCTGCGGCTTTTGAACGCTTGGGAAAGACCTGGTTGACACCATGTCTCCGCAGGGCATCCTGGAAGCTAACCTGTCCACTGCACATGGTAGACAACTTTGACTAGAAGAGTTGGTCAAGACAACAGACACCAGAAACTCCTACCAAGTGTTCATTAGATATTCACAATGACAGACATGGGGAGTGTACAAAACACCACTGATCTGAGGAAAAGGAGAGAGAGAAGTGACAGATTTTGTCATCAGCAAAACATGGAGAACTCCTAGCAAAATTGTGATGACCTCATGGCATTTTCTTGTGTGTGTTAGGTGGCTTATCTCACAAATTGGCCTCATATAACCACTGCCCTGTCAACTTGATATCTAAGATTTTTTTATAAGTGAAGTTGAATTTTGGTTATTTTAATGTTCACTCAGCAAAAAACTAATGCTAGTGAGTATTTACTTCTGCAATGTGCAAGTCTCGTGTGAGTGCTCGCACACACACACACACACACACACACACACACACACACAGATCTTGGATAAAGTAGTTAAAGTCCCAGACAGGAGATGATCAAAGAGTAATGATCACTTGGCTCTACAAGGCAGATGTATCTCAAAATTTGCTTTTGCTGTAGCAGAAACCTCACCTCCATATGTTATCTCACACAGACTGTTGTTCAAGCTTCCTGATGCTCAGCAGCTAAGGGAAAGGACATAAGAAAGGTCCATCACTACTATGTGCAAGAAATTGTCCAAATGACATGGCTTTCAGCGTTTATAACACTCCTCTGTAAAGTTTTACACATGAAAAGACTGAAGCTCAGGGAGGTTAAACAACTTGCAAAGGCTATCATCTGCTGATTGCCAGAGCTGGGTTTGGGCTAGTTTTAAGGCCTGTTCGTATTCTACTCTCCATTGAAGTGTGCGTGGTGGTGGGGAACAGTGACTGGATCCCAATCTGGCCGTGGCTTCCCCACTTACAGAAGTATTTACTCAGTCATCACTACAGAAGTGCAGGATATGAACAACCTGTAGTCACATAGCTCTAGGGACACCTTTCATGCTATGACAATGGAGCCCCCTCCAGTTGTTTGACTTGGTGGGTGCTCAACCTCTCACCTATTGGGAACTATACTAGATGCTAGATGTAAAGAATCGAGTGGGGTAAAATCATTGACCTTCAGGACCTTATGATTTAGTCTGAAAACCCCAGCTTCATGCTCAGGGCCTTCCTTCACCACCTCCAATTCACTTCCCTGTAGAGATGCAGGGGATACTAGGACATTCTTAGGTATCATGTGACTGGTGATCCCCAAAATGCCTTATGCATCTGGTCAATTATCAATAGGCACAACCCAGCAGCTTTCTTACATATCACTCCCCTGAGCCTCTGTTTCTTTATCTGTGAAACAGCTGTATAAAGTGCTTTATAGAATTGTCAGAGTTGTATGAACCAAAATATGTCAGGTTCTTGGGACACAGTAGTTGCCCCATGTATATTAAATCATTTGCTCTAACATTCTAATTTTCCTCATTTGGTATTTTTTTTTAGCACGAGAAAGTCACATCTGTTGGCTTACTTCTCTAACCTAAAAGGTGCTAGAGGGTCTAAGAGTTCTAGAATGTTAGAGAGGTCATCAGTTTGTCTCAAGAGGAATTTTTCTGGGCAATTCAAGGACTAGAAAAACTAAAGCAGGTTAGACCATAGGGCCTTTAGAGATCATGTGTGTTAGTGCGTCCAAATTGTTCTCTTAAGCTTTTGTTCAAAACATTTTATGAGACACTCTCCTATATCAAATGGATAAAAGAGGATTCTCAGAGGGCTTTCTGTTTGCTTTTTCCATTGAACCTAATTCCCCCATGCTGTCCCTCACACAGTTGAGAAAACCAGGATCCGAGTCACACAGCATTAATGGGAACATATTTGTATCCGAAGCCCTGGACTAGTAGTGTTCTTTCAGTGAGTTCATGCTACCTGCATGGTGTGGCGTGTGTTGTGAGGCAAGTACAAACTTGAGGGGGAATAGTAAGGAGAGAAGAACTATGGAAACTGCTGGAAAGTTTTGCTTGATTTTTGTGCCAAAAGAAGTAAAGAAGATGCTATCTGTTTCTGGCATCCCTTGTCCCAGGAGACCCTTCTCGAAACTTCTCTCCAGTACTCTGGGAAGACATCCCTGGAGACAGTGTAACATTATATAGTGTTATACCCGAGAAAATATTGGGCACGTTCAGAAAACCTCACTTGGTATTCCATTTCTTAGTATTAAGATGATATATCGTTAATACTTTTCTTTTTCCTATAATATGGAACATCTTCTTAGACTAGTGACTAGAAAAAGGGCTGACTTCCTCATCCAACAATGATGTTTTAGGTCTATTATGTGACAGGCATTCTGGGGAGTTGACAGCATCTAGCATGTTTTTTTTTTTACTCTATGGAATTGCAGAGTTTGCAACAACAAAGTTTGATCAGCAATGTAGAGAAATACACAATATTCACAATACATTTTATTTGAATAGAAGGGGATTTTAAGAAGTTGGGTTCTTGCTACCTCAGAAGAGAAAACCTGGTTTTCTCGGATCATTCTGAGCTGCTTATGAGCGAGCATCACAGCTAGAAACCAAGTCCAAATCCAAAGCAACTACATTAGCTGCATCAGCCTCAACTCTGACAGTGCCTGCTTCCACCACTACACTCAGGCTGGAGATAAACACGTGTCTGGGTAGAAAGGGAGATAAAGGAAACATCTGTTCTCACAATATGGGCTTGTTATCATAGCTCCTTTAAGTACCGGAGTGCTGGTTCCAACAGCATATTTTCTTCCAAACTAAACCTCCTCAAGGCCTGGTCAATTTTCCAAGGGCTCAGGGACAGGTTGTAAATGAGATTGTAGTTGTGAATGAGGTGCTGGGCTCGTTCCTTCTCTAGGACTCCTGTGATTAAGTTAGGTTGGTGGGAAATTTTTTAAAGGAGAAAACAATAAAAGAATAAAAAAATGTATTAGCTTGAATGACTTCAGTGTAAGCGTGAAATGCTAATATTTTAAAACTTTAAGATCCTTAAAAATCAAGTGACACCCTAAGAAGATATTTTCAGTCCAGGTATGCATCATGGATATTAGGAGGATTTTGAGGGTGACTTTGGGGAGAGAAGATGAAGGTCCAATTAAATCCGTAGATAGATTCAAAAGCAATTTAAGCTTATTCTTTGTGGCCATAAAACTTTAAAAGCCAATTTTTGAAACAGATGGGGTGCCTACTAAAAACAATTTTTAATTGTTCTGGTTTATTTTTATCTGTGAAGTATCCAAACATGTTCCTAAACATAAAGGCTTCAAACAGCGCACTTTAATGCATTTCTGGAAATGTATTTACCATGACTCCCTGCAGTTTGCTGTGTAATCACAGGTAAACCATGAAACCTCTTGTGGCTCAGAGTCTGAATCTGTCTAGCAGAGAGGGCTGTGTCTGGTACCCACATCTTGTACGTGCCAGTGCTAATGTGTTTCCCATGTTAAGGTTAGGTAGATTTCAATAACTGCAGAATTTAAGTGTACAACATGGCACCAGCCAAGATCAACAACTCATTCATGTGTCCCTAATCATGAACTTACATATGTCACAGAAGTGCTTGGAAATATGGAGGATTTTAAGTACCAGTCATTATTGTTATCATTGCACTTTAGTTAATTTTTGCATATCTGTTTTTGTTCCAAATGGTATAAAAATGGTCTATTACCTCAGGTAGCTCCTCAACCAGTTGGAGCAAAAAAAAAAATCAAAAATTAACTAAAGTGCAATGATAACAATAATGACTGGTACTTACATGCATACATAAAAATTCATGTTTTGGGCACCCCTGCAAGCATTTTACCAATAATAATTCATTCAATCCTCATGAGAACCCACTTTACAGTGTGGGAAACTGAGACATGGAGATGGTACGTACCTTGCCTAAGGTTGCTCAAGTCCTGTATTAAACCACTCCGCTGGAATGTAGAATTAGGGGGAAGAGATTGTTTCTAGTCATGTTCACATTGTTTACTAGATATGTTTCTTCATTGTGAAGTTCCATGCTACCAGTGTCAATGAAGAGATTTAAAATATCTTTTATATGGATGAAAGACATACCCCCTGCATGTTGCTTTACTAGTTTCCTGTACTTATACAGACTGTAATAATGATTGTAAAATTCATTCTCAAAGAATCCAGAGGCAGTCTCCTGGTCATTTATTGAAAGTCACTGCCTGCTTATGAGAGTTAGGTCTAGTAAACACCTGTCATCTCCATTTCAATTACCAAGTACTGTTCATGTTTGAATGTGCAAGGATTGTTGAGTAGGATGTTCTCCTCTGAACTTTTTCCTCTAAAAGGTGTTCTCAGCAGTGGGCTACAGACAGGTGGTCCTAATGCATTTTATTCCTTTCACTTCTGTTCTGTCTTGTCCAGGACCATTTATTTCCCACCCTATCCTACTCCAGTTTGTTTCTATGCTATTCAGATTTGTGTACTGTCTATCTCTTCTATTAGAATGTTGCTCCTTTTCTCTGAAGAAATCTCTCTCTTTGAGGAGGGTTGGTTGTAACTCTCAGAGCTCTGGATCGGTGGCTGCTGTCTGGACCCTTTCCCACACCTTACTTTTGCTGCAAGTGTCTGCCTGGGAAACTTCCTTTAACTTTTTGAGACTGTTTTTTCTGACTTTAAACTGGGAAAGGAAATTGTATAATAATCAGTAAAATAGTAAATGCTTAGCAGAATGCCCTGGACTGGAAAGCCCTCATTAATGCAGGAATTATTATAGTCTAATTATTATAACATCAACATTATTTAAAATATATAAAGCTATATTTCAATAAGAAGAAATTATTTTAAAAATATATAATTTATTTGATAATGTTTTAATTAAAAATTAAAAAATAATGGTAAAAATGCTTAGAAATCATTGCTGGTGTGTGTGTGTGGGGGGATTTTCTACTATCTTTTAAGCATTACCATTGGTAGGGGATCCCTACTGTTAACAAAAGTCCATTAACTGGAATTTGTATCTGTCTAATTTGCTATCATTTGAGGGTAGCAATTTGCTATCATTCCCAGGGTAGCTGCATAAAATAACCCTTATGACCCACCTTACTGATGGAAAACTCACCCTTCTCCCACCAGAATCACACAAAAAAGTGCACAAATAAGAAGAGGCTCTTTAACATCCACTCATTTCATAGCTCACAAAAATCTTCATTTTATAGTTTTCAAATCTCATTTGATCCTTTCTCAAATCTGGGAGGTATGTTTTATTATAATTGGTCCCCTTTTATAGATGAGAAAACAGGCTCACAGGATAGAAGTGACAGACTTTCAGGACTCAGCAATTGGTAACATCTGGACTTGAATCTAGGTCTTTTGGTAAAAACAAAGCAACAAGTGAAACCTCATGCTCTTTCTGGTATGTAATGGGAGTTTGATGTAGTGGGAAGTCTCATAGATTTGGGTTTGAATTAGGGCTCAACCTCCTACTTTGAACTTGGCTTTCTCTTTGGTAAATAAGGACACTAATCCCTTCAGCATGTGGCTGATGTGAGGAGTTAGTGATGCAGCACATGTGAAGTCCAGGCTCATGAGAGAATGTCCTTGAGGGCTCTCATTGTGTTCTACCACCTTGAACTCTAAAATACCTTTTTTTCCTAGCCTTTAGATCACTGGGAAAACTCCAAACCTGCCTTGTATCCAAATATTTATCTCAACCACCCTTTTCTTTAGCTCGCATGACCAGTCATTCTTTATTCATTCTCCACAGGGATATTTTCTTCAGCATCCCCATTAGAGAATAGACACAAAGTAGGTTCCCAGAAACACTAATTCGATGATGGATAGTCTGCTTCCATCCTGGATAAAGAACACTATGGCCTACATATTTCCTTGCACATAATAAAGAGCAGTGATTCATCAGTGGGCAAAGTAGGTATCACCTGCCCAGTGTCTAGAATAGGGATGTGGTGGTCTGCTAAATAGTGTGGTTAATAAACCAACAAAACGACTTCAGTTAATCCTTTTTCCTCATTAAAGATAGTTACAAATGTTCCCAGACCGGGCTGACACATTCCTTGGCTGTTGAGGAACTAATGAATTTCATAGAAACAGAGAAAACAGGCATAAATAGTGAAGAGGCCATGAGAAAGGCATTACAGATCTGCTGGAATCTGCCTCCAAAGTCAACAAAACTCCGTTTTTCTTCAGAACAGTTCAGAAGTATGAGAAGGGTCTCGGTCTTTGGGGAGTCTCTTAGCAACTAAGTTTATAATCCATCATCCAACATCGTAAATCAGCATTTGTTTTTTAAAATGTCTTTTATTTCTACTCAGCTTTTTAAAATTTTTGTTTCATTTTTTTTTGTTTGTAACCTCATCACCACTCTCCCAGTCCTGGTAGGAATATCTAGACTCATGATTATTTCAATAACCTTTTAATCTCCTTTTTTCCAGTATCATCTCTAAATGATCTATCTCAACTTTCATTGATTCTTCTCTGGTTCAACTTTTAGTGAAGGCTGAGTACAGAAGGAAGCCCTACTTAGGCCTCCATGATTCATAATAGGGTCTCAAGTTCAACTTCACTATCCAATCCAACATAAACTTCCAGCTCTCTCCTGTTTACTTTTATCCCATTCATGCTCATTCCCACCTTCTAGTCTTTGCAGAAGATGGTTTCAAACTTGCAATGCCCTACTCAGCTACCTAAAGTCTACCTTTCCTCAGGCCAATCTCAAGCTCTCTTTTGCATGGAGCCCTCTCTGAGTACCCCAGCTCACATTAGACAGTGAACTTCCTTTCATCTCTTCCTCTTTCCTTTGAACTCTTTAACTTTTATTTGTGTCTTTAACTATAACACTTTGCTACATGCTGTCTTTATTAAAAAGCCTGGTATTGAACTATTGCTAGTTTCAGTGTCTTACTTCTTATCTAAAGGCTCTTTGAGGCCCCAAACCATACTTCATTTTCTCTCATTCCCCTCCTGGTCCAGCCTCTAGCACAGTGCTTAGCTCATAAGAGATATTTAATAAATAATTTTCTAATTCAGCTAAACACAGTTGTATTTGAATTTTTGTTTTTGCTTCTCTTTGGTAAAATTATTAAAAGTCTTCAAGTATTTTAGGGTAGTTATACTTCATGTGATCTATATTTATTTTGTTTTGAAAAGGCAAAACAAAACAAAAAGAAAAACACACAGAAAAAAATGAGAAGCATTGCTATTATTATATAATTACTTCTAGAGAGTACTAGCATGTACAGAAACTCTCTTTTAAAAAATTAATTACTTCCAGTTTCATTGAAATATAACAGTATATAAGTTTAAGGTGTACAATGTGATAATTTGATAGGTGTACATATTGCTAAATGTTTACCTGTGGGGGCAACTTTGCCCACAAAGTCCCCCCATCCACCATGGATGAAAGTGAAACTACCAAGACATGATCTGCTTGGGGAGGAGAGGTGGCCAATCCCTCAAAGGGGAAGGGCCAAGAGCCCCCTTCTCAAGGGGCTTTTATTGGGTTCGTTTGCACAAGAATACAGGAAAGGATCAGACAATAGATAGCAGAAAAAGGAGAACTATTCAAAGAACTATGAGGGCTTATTCTCAGTCAGGGTCAGATAGCTAAAGAGCCATACAACTTTGAGGAACAAACTTCTTGCTTGGACCCTTATCATTTAAATGAGAGCATTCTAAACAAAGCAGGTTTCACAGGATTTTACATATTCTTTCTTAGGCCTGATCACCTGGGATCCTGCTCTAGCTGGCAAAGAGCTGCATCACCTTCCCAGTCATAGGTTTTTAGGCTTAAGTGAATTAGAGTCAGGAAGTGCTTCTCCCAGAGGATATGGGGACTTGGGCTATATCAGAATAGCTTGGGGGGTGAGTGTCCATCACTCCCTCTTTGTTGCAGCCCCCCTAGTCCTCCCATAATGGTCTCTCAAGTGATCATGTCTGGCTTAGGTTGCCCGTCCTCTGAGGGGTCTTACCCATCATGGACTATTCACCATGCATTGGGGGCAGGGGAGTCAGCAGAGGTAGCATTTGGTACCAGAGACAAGCTTTATCTCCTTAGTGGCTCACATTCTGGAGGTTGCTCTCTCAGCCTTAGCTATGGGGGGCAGTTATAGTTCCTGAAACCAGGTAGAGAGGTTCTCAACATTTACCACGATAAGGTTAGTTAACACATCCTCTACTCCACATAATTACCATTTTGTTGCTCTTGTTCCTGTTACAGTGAGAGCATTAATGCTCGACTCTCATACTAATTTTCAAGTATACAATGCAGTATTGTTAACTAGTCACCATACTGCACATTAGCTCCTTGGAACTTATTCATCTCATAACTGAAAGTTTGTACCCTGGGACCAACATCTCCCCATTTCCTTTAGCAACCACAATTTTATTCTCCATTTCTTTGAGTTCAACCTTTTTAGATTCCACATATAATACACCAGCCCTTCACGAACTACAGTATGTGATTAAACTGGTTTCAGTCTGTGTGCCTTATCTATGCAACCTCCTTCCTATTCCAGAGACCTCTGAGTTCTGGAATTCATTCTCTCTCACTTGGACATTGCAATGGCTTCCTTTCTCCTTTTTCTGCTTTTATTTTCTTCTTTATTCATTCACAGCCATCAAGGATCTTTTTGATCTTTCTGAAATATAACTTTATTATATACTCTCCTGCTTAGAAACCTTTAGAGCTATTCACTGTCTTTGAATTAAGTCCACATTCTCTGGTCCAATATCTAAGAGCTTCCTGGATATGGTTCCATCACATGTCTCTACCTTTATCATTTAATATTCTTCTTTAAATGTTTTCTATTATTTTATTCTTAAATTATTTATTTTTATTTTAAAACTATAGTTGACATTCATTTAATGTTCTTCTTAATAGCCCCTATAGTCTACCCAATCCAAACTTTTTGCATTGAGTTGTACATATAAGACCTTGCTTGGCCAACCTCCTCCTTTGCCAGAAAGGATCTTCTATCTCATTCCTTTGCATACAAATTGCATTTTATCTTAAATGATCCATTTCACATTATGATTTGTTCCCTGGTCATCTCACTAGGAAGGAATTCTCCTTTTCCTGAATGCCCACATAGCACACTCTAATGGCATTTACCACCTTCCATCTTGGATTTAGTTACTTATATACATTCATTCATTTATTTGTTGACTAAAATATGTTAAACAGAATTGTATGAGGTGCTGGGGATAAAAAAAGAATGTAGTCTACTGGTGAGGTAGGACTAAACCCTTAGTTTAAAAAAATACAGTATATCAAATATGATAGTGGAAGTTAGAGAACTCTGAGAGGCCAGTTAAAGGTTTGCTTAGATCTGATCTGTCTGTGGAAATCAGATGAGTCTCAGAGGAAACAGAGCTGAGTGTCAACATATACAATGTTTAGGCATTAATTAGCCAGGTGGACAAGATGGACAATTGTCAGGAGTGGGGTAGGTAAAGAAAAGCAGACAGTTCAGATGGAGGATGTAAGGTTAGAAAAGGCAAGCCCCAGGAGAAATCAAGTTATTCACTATGACTGGGTAAGATATTCTGAAAGGCCAGTTGAAGAGGAGAGACACATCAGGCAGACAGGTTCTAGATTTTGCCTTGCTAAGAAGTTTGGAGTTCAGCCTGTTGGCAGGCATGCCAGAGTATTTCAGTTAGGGGAATGAGATGGGATTGTGGTTAGACTCAGGTAGTAGAATGGAGGAAGATTCACAGACACAAAGAAACTGTGAGCAACCTGGTGGGGGGTTCACCCATGTCTGATTCATGATTGTATTTCTTGATTGTGTTCAGCACAGTGCCGGAAACGTGGTTTACATACAAATTGTATTTGTTAAGAAGTGAAAGAAGATGTGTCCTTTTCAGACTAGAACATGCAGAGAAATGTATATCAGCTGTAAACTTCACACATTTCACCTGTATTATTCAGGTCACACAGGTAGAGGACATTTTCTAGCTTCCTGAACCTGTCAATCCACATCTCGCATTCTGCAGACTTCATTGTTGTTCATTGTTGGACTCGCAAAAGGCTGTGAGACTGGCCTAATCGTCAGAGAGCCCAGGGGATCTTGGGGGGCTGAAGTCTCAGCAGGAAGGTTTTCTGGCTGCAGCTCCTCTTCTGGAGATTTCTACCAAAACAACACAAGCATCTCACTGGCAACACATTCACCACCCAGAGGTCCTCCAGTTTTCTGGCCCAAGATGAGGCCACACAACTAGGAAGATTTATTGCAAGGTCTGGCTTTGTAAATCCAGGGGGGTGAGTTTCAAGTCCTCAGTGCCATAGGACCGTATCTGCCAAGTCTTGTTGGATATAAACTACTATGTTGAATGTTATTTTTTTAAAGGAAAAGGATGAAATCATGATTTTATTGTTTGCATTTCCGATTTACACAAAGCAAAGTTTTTGTAACTGGCTGAGGCTTTTCATGATGTTCTACTCTGTTTCGTATTAGTGGTGTCCACAAGGCATTGGCTTCAGGAAATGCTTATAACTTCTTGGTGGAAAAAATCTCTGGATCATGAATCATAAATGTGAGTTTCTTGACAAAGAGTGATTGAAACAATAGTGATATTACCTTAGGCAATTGGGCTCATTGTAACAGACCTTAAAGCACCTCTAGTTCTATCTGTCTTATTCATTTAACAAAGAAAGCTGAGGCCCAGAGAGCACTAGAGACTTACTAAGGTCATATAGTGAATGGTAGACACAAAACTAGGACGGGGTGTAGAGTCTGTATCTAGCTCATTTTGGTATTATAACCCCATTTTCACTACAAAATAGAGATTTTATAAAGAATAAGTGGGCAAGTCCCAGTAGGGCCATATAAGACATTCTGTCATCTACCATGTAGAGACAGAGGGCATCTACAGTTTGATCTCCCCAACCCCACCTTCCCAGGAATTGCTGCTGTCCACATTGCTGTAGAGAGAACCAACAGGTGTCTAAATACTTTGTATAAAACTAGACATCTAATGCAAGATGGGTCAGTGATTTTGGAAGGATTGGTGCAAGGTAAAGACAGAGAGATAGACAAAGATTATTCTGTGTGAGAGGCAGGTACTCTAACAGATTTTCTGCTGTGTACAAGAAATGAGAAAAAGATGGTCTGCTGAGAAATAAAAAAGAAAGAAAGAGAGAAAGAAAGAATCAAAATAGAAATCTGAAGCTGATGAAAGAGAGGAGAGAAAAGATATAGGAAGTTATAACAATGTTTGGCTACCTGATTTCGGTTCATTGTTGTATTTCTGTCTTTAGGTAACACAGTGTGCTTCTCTGTCCTTCTTGTAAATTATGTTGGTAGAGTTGGTTCTCTTAATTGCACCCCAAATAATCTTAACTAATTCACCATAGAATCATGCCTCTAACTTTTGTATACCATCTGTGCTTCCCCAAGTTTCAAATACCTGATTTTTTTTCACATTTGTACCTTTGTCTCAAACTTTGCACTTATAAGAAATGGAAATCCCATAGATCAAAAGAGCAGCAATTGCAGTAAGAATCCAGGTTTTGAGTTTGTTAGCAAATGTGAGTCTAGCTGCTGTTAGGGAGGTGAAGAATTGTTCCATCTGAAATAATGGAATGCCATGTGAAATTGTACCCCTATGGATGACCAGCAACCAGGACATTTTAAGAGATTAATATGTAAAAGTTCCACTTAGATAAAAATCAATTGTGAGAAAAGCTGAAAGTTTCATAAAGGAAATTGAGTAGTGAGTCTTAGAGCTTTGACTGTTTTAGAAATCCAAAGGAAGCTTTAGATAATCTACCCAGGTAAATGCCTATTCACGTACAGTTCAGTGGATATTTAGAAAATTCAAAGAGATCCTGGGATGTGAGAAACTGATTTTAAATAATTTTATATTTCTTCAGATAGTTCAACCTTCTGTGTGACCACTAGAGACAGGAAGGGGGGAAATTTATGTGGACCTGTATTAAGTTTCACTCACTCACTCACTCACTCATTCACTCACATTTTGTACTGCTTTGGTCCCATTGTATCCAAATGAAGCCCACATTTCTCATTTGGCACATAAGACCATTCAAGTTCTTGTTCTTGTTTATCTTCTTGTAGTCCTACTTATATATCTTTTTCTGCAGTCACATACAACCAGAAAAAAATAAGGCTGTTTTATGCTGTGTACATGCTGTTCCCTCTTGCCATGTATGCATTGATTGTTGGCCTCCTCCTACTCACCCTTCAAGACCCAAGTCATATTTCCCTTCTTGTGGGAAGCCTTCTCTGACAGCCCCAGGCTGGGTGCTTTGCAGCCCCCTTCTCCAACACAGCACTTACCATGGGCTACTGTAATAGTTGTCGGAGTTGTTCACATCTCTGCTCTATCAGAGATCCGAAGACTGGGCCTGTGACATAGTCATTTATGTGTCTTCAAGGCCTGGTTAGTGACTGACACACAGTTGGTTCTCAAGATAAGTTTATTGAATGAATGAATGAATGAATGAATGAATGATTTTCTCTGGGACAATAGGAAAATTGCTTTACCAAACTTCTGCTTCAATTTCCCTTTCTGGAACGTGAAACAATGAATGCTGTTTATACATGAATGTGAGAAGAATCAATTATTGCAGAGATGCAGCAAAATCCTCCAACAAGAGGCAAAATAAAAGAGCAAAGTATATTTTTTATGTACTTAATCACAACAGACTTAACACTCTGGGAGAAAAGCATTTGCTGTTGTTTCTTGCATGGCAAGTGGCTTGCCAAAATGGATACTATTTTTCTAAAATATTTCAAAGTGTGAAGTGCATGAAGAGCCCTCCCGTCATTTTCAGATGAATTATGTTCTAATCTGGGCATTTAAAAAACAACAACAACAGAAAGACTCAGGCTGGTTTTCAATTCTGTCTGCATCTTCTCCTGGCTAAGTTCTGGGAATATTAAAACAGATTTTAACTGCTTGCCAGATTTTTTTTAAGCAAAGAAAGAACCCATTATATTTTAAAATGTGATGTGTGGTGAAAAGGTCACCCCCCAGTGTCTGGAAGCTGGACTGACAATGTTAAAACAGGTCTCCTAGCCACCCTTTACTTTGATGGCCATTAGTGGATTGGTCACAGGCTTTGGAAGGACACATACACATGCTACTAGTCCAATTTCTTGGGCAGATGACAAGCAAGCCTGTCACCAAGTAGTGATAGGGGTCTCTGCATGCATACCGGCTAGGACAGGGATCAGTCTACACTCTGATTCTTCCACTTCCCTTCTCTGCCAGAGAAGAGTCTCAAAGTCAAAGACAGTCTGACATCAAGGCCTTGGGTGGAAATAAAAAAACCAGAATGGAGGGCCCCACCTGGGCCCCACCCAGCATCAGAGAACAGAAGGTGAAGGGTCAGCGAAGCCCTGCCCCAGCTCTGCATACCAAGGTGCATACCATATGTTCAGTTTTGCCTTGAGACATAGCTGGAACTTCAGCCTGCACTGGAGCAACTGAGGTTTCCTTTCCTTTTTTACCTGGACAAGAAAGAGAAGCTGGAAGGATTTGGTTTGGCCTCTTCATTTTAATACCTATACACAACCCCCCAGGCAAAGAAGGCGTTGAGGCTCTGCTGTATGATTGGCACTGTGTTAGGTGGTGGGGATACACTGGTGGATGAGAAAGATCTGATTCCTGTCATGATGGAGCTCTCAAAGGGGATGCAGATGCTAAATAATTACTCAAAATTGTCATTTAATTACAAAGGATCATAAACACAGCAAAGAAAAATGTGAAGATATTTAAACTTATTTTAGAGTATGTGTGGGAATGGTAGAGGATCATAGAAGGCTTCTTGGAGGAAGCAACACTTAAACTGGGAACCTGAAGGATGAGTAGGAGTTTCTTGGTAAAGGCCATAGTGGTGGTGCACATGGAGCAGAGAGTTCTGGGTAAGCACAGGCAATAGCCTGTAGAACCAGCCTGAATCAGGACGGTTTTTACAGTCTAGGGAGAGGAAAGGGACTTCTTTCACTGGTTCTGTCTCTTAACAGAGAAGCAGGCACTTCTGCCCATCTCTCCACATAAGTGTGTGCCTCAAGTTTTAGGTAAAACCCTTTCCTTCTCCCTTCCTTGCTCCTTTCAATGGTCAGAGGTCCTGTGCAGGAGGAGGTTTGAAGAGCATCCTTAACCCAGGGATTTTACTGTCCAGGTACAACTTGCTCACTTGGCTGCTTTTATGGATAGAAGAAGTTTCTTTAGGATTCAGGAAAAAAACGTGAAGACCTTCTGCTAAAATTCTCTAAAGCGTATTGTGGGTATCACTCATTCATCACTCAGTACCTTCCATTAGACTGGAGACTCAGTGATCTCACAAATCTGTGTGATGACCACATGGCACAGATTTCTGGGCACTTCGGCTTCAGTGTTTAATGCATGATTCAAATGTGCCATTAAGAAATACGTATCACTTATGTGTTGGCTTCACTACTTTCAATGAAAATGGTTCAGTCAATACATTTTAATCAAAATGTGGAGGGCAGCAGTATACTGCAGTGGTGGAGAGTAGAGGCTCTGAAGCCAGATGCCTTGGGTTTGAGTCTTAACTCCTTTCTCTATTGACTGCACGACCTTGGGTAGGTTACTTGTCCTCTGTGTGTATCAGTTTCCTCTTCTGTAAAATGGGTATAAATGCCACCTATAGGTTATTGTGAGGATTAAATGAATTAGAAAATTTGAAGCAAATACCTGTAGCATAGCAAGTGTTCAATTAATGTTAACTAATATCATTACCTATGTAACGATGTATATATAAATAAATTCACCTATCAGATCAAAAAGCCTTTTGTTAGACTTTTAGTATTGCCCGTGTGAATCATTGTGAATTTTCTCCATCAGTTTCTTGATGGAGAAAACAACGTGATTTCGTAATCTTCTCTGAGGCCCCAGCACTCAGCATGAGAATAAGGACCCAATGCGTACTTGTTGACTAAATGAATAACCATGTTCCTTCATTTAAAGTTTGGAAAATAAAATATATAGTTCTATTTCTCCTATTTCTTTCAGGCCCTAGAAGAGAAGGACTTTTCTCTGTATTTCTTTATTTTCACACATCTAACCCAAATGCTATACAGAGTAGAACTTACTAGCTGCTTAATGAGGATCATGATGACAACCAGGTAGGGGAATCCCACCCAGGCAGATATAATTTAATCTGCAGAAAATTTAAGTTGTCATAGGGACCCATCACCACCTAGTAGCAATGGCCCCTGCTTATTTCACTGAGAATGTGAAAGAAAGCTTTTTGTTTCCTGTCAGTGAAAAAACCATCCGAATGACTCTGAATCATAGAGTTGGAGAGTTGAAGAGATTCTAGAAACAGTGTACAACATAAGGGCAGAAAGATGAAGTTAGGTGTTAGATGCCAATGCTAATCCTGTTTCTTTCCTTTATAAACTTGCATATTTTAGTTTTGTCCTTTGTGAAAAGGAAATGATACCAGCAATTCGCCGTTATGTGGGGATTTTTAAAAAATCACATTAACACAGGGAAGATGCTCGATGTGGGATTTATTATTTGTTGTTGTGTTATTATAACTTTATGACCTTAAGCAAATTTAGTTTCCCTAGAGAAGAGGACTTAACAATAACTATGATGAGCCAGGAATTTTTCCGGGCACTGTTCATATGCATTATCCCTTTTAGTATGAATTCTAGAACCTAGACTTTGTCCTACTCTCATTTCTCTTTACTGTCTGCACTTTTAGAAGTACTATTAAGGAAAAACACAGGCTAGTCTTCCTGGTCTCTTTTCAGGTTCCCTGTTTTTCTCCTAATACCTATCTGCTTATAAAAAGATAATGATTTGCACATGTAAAAATTGTTTGATAAACCCCAAGGCAGAGCTATTTTTTTCTTCTTAACACAGCAGGAAGGATAAATAATAACCATCTGTCTAGTCTGCCAGTTGAAGGTTTGTACTGGAGGAAATAAGCCAAGCTGGCTCCTAGAGATTTCCAGGTGTTGGAAGGGCCAGGTTCTTACAGGGCTTCCAGGGGATTCTGATAGTAATAAGGCCAGTGCTCCTGCCTGCCCCTCCCCCAGTTCCCCAGTAACGACTTTAAATCAGTGGTCTTCAGTGCTGTCTGCTAATATGCTCATACTTGGGGAGCTTTAAAAATTACCAATGCCTAGGCATCACACCAGACCATTTCATCAGAATTTCTAGGGTGAGAACCTAGCTCAGGACTTCTAAAGAATTCCCTAGGTAAGTCTAACGTTAAGCCAGGGTAGATAACAACTGATGTAAATAACAGCTTCTGGCCTTATTGGACCTACTGAGTGAAGTTTTTGTGAGTGAAAAAACTAATATACGAGGTCTGTCCAGAAGGTATCCAGCCATGCACTATGAAAAATGGGGAAATTTACTGAAGAAGATACGAGATATAAGAAACATTGTACATAGGACAATGATGTCTCAGTCCCCTTCAAAGCAGGTACCTTGGGACCTCACACAGTTCTTCCAATCGCCATCAGCTACCCTGTTATATTTTCCTGAATCTCATCAATGGTCTGAAGTCTCTTCTCTTTCAAAGGTGATTTTAGTTTTGTGAAAAGCCAGCAGTTGCAGGGCATTACATCTGGGCTGTAGGGGGGCTGAGTCACCTGGGTAATTTGATGTTTCACAAAAAACTGCACAAGATGTGATGCATGAGCGGGTTCATTGTGTGATGGAGCTGCCAGTCACCAGTTGCCCAGAGCCGTGGCCTTCTGAATCATCTGAATAATTTCCACAGAGGAACGTTCAAGCTTAATGCAAAATTGGATGCTGATTCATTGCTCTACTCGCTCAGTCACTTTGAATGCGATGACCACACAGTGCACATGCTCACTCAACAGTGTCTACTGCCCACACCGACTGTGAAGTTGTCATTGTTTATGCATGTATATTCCACTCCATTCTCCTTGGCTGCCAGGTTATGTTGATGGTGTGCAAAACATTCCCATTAAATTAACAATGTTTGGACTTTTCCTGGAAAGATCTCGTGTGTCAAATATCTGTATATGCTGCACACTTTTGTCATATTTTCTTACTTATCTCAAGAATAATCCTGTGAGATAGAAACCACCTGCATTGGACAGATGAGGAAATGGAGGTGATGAAAGTCTCAGTTACCTGCTTATGACAACAGAGGCAGGGATCTGTCTGGAACTCCAACAGTGCCTACTGAATGCCAGACCCTGCTCTAGGCACTCTGATACGACAATGACTAAGACACAATCTTCTCCTGGAGTGTGCATTCCAGTGGTGGGAGCAAACAAATAGATATATAAAATAACATCAAGTAGTGATAATACTATAAATGCAACTAAAACAAATTATGGGCATAGAAAGTAGTGGCAGTTGCTATTTTGGATAGGGAACTCACCAAAGTCCTCTCTGAAGTGACATATGACTATAGCCATGAGTGAAGAAACAAGGGAGAAAGTCATGAAAATGGGGAAAGAGCAGTCTAGACAAAAGCTATAGCAGGGGTAAAGATATTGAAGATGATGTGTTTAATGCGTTCAAGCAATAGCTGAGAAGAGAATCTAGCTGACCCAGGATGAAAAGGAAAGAGAAATGGGTTAGGTATTCACAGAACTAAAGGGCCTTATGGGCCGTGCATGTGTCCGGAGTTGGTTTTGAATTTTTTTTGGCTTCCCAGTATTTGTTCCTTCTCTGGTATTTATTCCCTTCATTACTCTCTTATAGTGATTGCAACTGTCTTTTGCTTGGTGTGGACCACACCTTCCCTGCTCCAGAGCTGTGGTCTCACAGGAATGTTTCAGATTCATGCTTGGCCTCAAATAGTTGAAGACAAGGGTGAGTCTTAGATCTAATGAAGAGTGGTGTCATTATAAGAAAAAAGAGAGAATTTAGAAACAGAGACACAAAAGAGACACAGAGGGAGGAAGATCCATGTGAGGACAGAGGTAAAGTTTGGAGTTCTGCAGACACAAGACAAGGAATGCCTGGGGCCACCCAAACCCGGAGAAGGCAAAGAGGGAGAATGTCACTGCTGATGTGATTGATTTCATACTTCTGGAATTATGAGAGAATAAATTTCCATTATTTTAAGCCACCCAGCTTGTTGTAATTTGTTTCGGCAGCCCTGAGGAAATGAATATACTCACCATCCTCTTTCTGCTCTCAGTCTTGCAATATTCCTATAGCCAATGCCCCAGTTTTCTGCTGTGAAGTCCCTCCGTTTGACACACCTAGTAAGGTCTCTGTTTTTCTGCTGGAATAAAAACTGATGTACTCTCCCACCCCAAATTCTCAATACCTTGTGTTTTGATTCAAAGGTAATCAGTAAACAGTTGATATAGTAAATAGATTGCAACAGCAGATTAATATCAATGCATATTCTTTCATCTGTCATATTAAAAATGTGCCAATTGCTAAATACTTTGCCCACATCATCCTTATGATTTCACTTCATAGTATGTCCCGGAAATCTTCCTGTATCAGCCCAGCTATGCTATTACAGCTGCATAGTTTTATCAATTGGATAGACTGTAATTTGAGTAAATGGTCCCTAAAGGGTCTTTATATTGCTTCCATTCATCAAAACATTAGGAAATGCTGCAATAAACATACATATATAAATCTTAGATTTTTTCTGAGCTATCAGTTGGATAGGTACACAACTGTGGGACTCCTCAAGCTAAGGGCCTGGGTGGCTAAAGTTCCAATAAGTAACGCCAACTTTTGTAAGTGTGCTGCATTCGCCATAAAGCACTGACACTAGAGAATGCTTCATGATGTAATAAAAGCTGGAGAGTTATACATTTTATGATCCAACTGGCCTAAAAAATAGTCACTAAGGTAATTCTCTTATTTTTTTCTGCACCAGTGAGTCATTTACATTTTTGGTATCAATAAGATCAAACCCAACAAGCAACCAGCTAAGCTGAGCATTCGAGACAACAATAGCTCTGGGTGATAGGAGGCCCTTCAAGAAACAAGATTACTGAACTCACCTGTAGGCAAATCAGAGGACAAAGTTGAGGAAGCTTTGCTTAACAACTCAACAAAATTCTGCCACCTGTGCAAGCAAAAAAGACAAAATATTGGTGATCAACATCATTTTCCTGAAAGAATGTGCAATAAAGCTCAAAGTTTATATTGATAGTTTTGAAGGAGCTTTTTGATACCTGTATCATTGAGGGTGCAATGCAGGAAACAGGAGCTTTTAAAAGTATCTCTATGAGAAAGAGCTTTAACATAAGGAATTAGATGCCCACAAAATGACTTCAAGGGCCAGTAAAGTGGAGGTTGATGTCTGCTGTGAGCCTCAGGGTCAGGCCTCAGCAGATACAATCTAGAAACCAGGGGTCTACGGGAAATTCTGGCTCATTTCTCAGTTGCCCTTGACCATGAATTTGGTGACAAGGCAGTACAAAGTGCATTTGGCCACTGGAAACACTGAGGCCTGCCAGGGTCCAGGATCCCTACTACTGCAGGAAACTAAATAAATAAATGAACAAACAAACAAACAAACAAATACCTAAAATATCTTTGTCCCTCTTTCCACTCCCTTCTGTCTTTCAAATCTCATGCAGTTGCGTCTCTCTGCTAGAACTTAAATCAATTCCAGAGCGTTGGTGTCAAGGGAGTTTTGGAAATGCTCTTTTTAGCCTTTCCAAGAATAGGAAGTATTGCAACACAAGAAAGAACATAGAAGGGAGTAGAAACAAATGCTGAGTACAAATGGACAATATTTAGTGAAGTTCCCCAAGCAGAAATTACACTGAACAATACATCTGCACGTGGCAATGAGGGAGTCAGTTAAAGCTTACAGGTACTTCAGGAATGCTTCCGTAGTAAAAAAAATCACATATTTTCTTGCCCAGTGTTCATCTTTCCCTTATTTATATATAAATATAATCTTCTCTGGGGTAATGGACCACAGTCAAATCCCATACCCTTCCCTAGATGATATTGTCACCTGCTTTGTCTACCATGTCACTTTCTCTGTTCCCTTACCTTTTTTCCTCCCTCTCTCCCACTCTCTGTCTCTGCCTCTGTGTCTCATAATTTTTGGTTTGGTACATCCCGAAGTTTTATTTTTCCCTAATTTTGTGTGCTACTCCACATTCTTTCGAAATGTTTGTTTTGCTTATGTTAGCAAAAGGCAGTTTCTATTGCCAGCAAATGAATTGCTACTGATAAGAATTTTTATCTTCTTCTTGCCCACCAGAAGTTAAGCAAAAATAAAGACCAAATTGTGAAGTATATGCCTTAGGTTTTCTAGAAGAGTTCTAGCATCATGTGGTTTTATTCTCCTTAAATACAAATAATTCATTAGATATACAACTAGTTTATTTTGCTTATATTACATAAGACTTTTCCTGTACCTGATATCACAAATCAGCAAAGTTCTTAGGTCAGTACTAAAATATGGTCCCCAGAGCCTCATTTATTTTTGGTCACATGAAAAGATAAGGCATAGGTATGTCGAACTGCCAGCCAGATAAGCTGATGACTGTATCAGCTGCTGAAGTCTATAGGCAGAGAAGAAGGTGCAATAGCATGTGATGTGATACTAGCTCAGATCTGGACATGAACTGCAATAGAAGTAGCTCCTGTCTTCTATACTTGCTGCAGCTTATTTCTAGGCCCTCTTAGGAAGACCAGGCTTATGCCTAGAGCATCTTCTGACCTTCTGAAAAACAACAGTGTGACAACAAAAACCCAGAGACCCACTGATATTCTCACATTTGTATAACATTTATTTTTCAGAATGGGTAGTAGTTATCAAATATGAGATAAGGTCTCTGGACGAAATGGCACTGGAAACTCTCTTGCCCTTTCTTGATTATGCATTGTTAGTAGGGGAGGAGACTGTGAGAGAATTTTCTAAGTATTGAATTTAGATGTTGTCTGATTTAAATGGTGTATAGGACCGATATGGACAATGCAATTCTTAAGATCCTTCTGATAAAGCATTTTATTTCTTCCATACTCTTTTTAAGTCAAATTGATTGAGGCGATATTGGTTAATAAAATTATATAGGTTTCAAGTGTATACTTTTATGATATATCATCTGTATATTGCACTGTGCCCACCACCCAAAGTCAGACCTTCCATATTCTTTATTTGACTTTAAGACCTTCAAAAAAAAGACATTGACAACTTCAGTGTGAGCAGTGGCTCTGGTTGCCATAATAGGCACTATAATACTAATCACAGAAGCAAGTGCCAAACTTCTAATATCAAGTCGAAGAAATCAGGGCTGAAGGACATGGTGTGTGAGCCTGATCCTAGATGCAGACGGATCTGAGTTCAAATTCTAACTTTAATTTATTAACTTAAAATGGCCTTCAGTGAGCATTCTGAGTACTCTGTGCATTTCTCACTTAAACAACCACTTCATGAGACATGTAAGTAACTAGTCCAAGGGCATGGATCAATGGAGCAGCCAGAATTCAAACCCTGGAGGCCTGACTCCAAATCCTTTGCCCTTGACCAGTGTACTATGTGGCCTTACACATGCATGCAATATAAACTTGGCTTCAGTTACATTTTTTTCCCCATGGAATTCCATGAACACAGCTCCACTGTCTTCTGACATTCTTTATTGCAGAAGCTTGAAGTCAGTCTTATTTTTGTTCATTTTTAATAAATTTTTGCCTTTTATTGCTTTGGTTTAGTTTTATTTTGTTTTTGGTCTGGAGCCTTAAATACTTTTCTTTGTCTTTGTAATACAAAAATTTTGTCAGGATTGACAAGGATACATTTTTTTCTTAATTTAATTTGGGGAATAGTGAATCCTTTTAATGTGTACCAAGAGAATTTTTTCCCATCTCTACAAATATTTTTCACTTGTAACTTTGTTTTTACTTCTTGTCTAATTTTTCTATTAGATTGGCCAGAAAGTTCATTTAGTTTTTTTCCCTATGAAGGCTCTAATACTGTTTAGTTGTCTTTAATTTCATTTGGAACAATTTTATTAGAGTGTATTGTGACAACTGTCATATCAGCATGCATTTAAGAAAGAACTTATAAAAATTGATGAATTTTTGTGCAGTCATTTTATTTTTATTTTTATTTTTTAACTATATTTTATCGATTATGCCATTACAGTTGTTCTATTTCTCCGATTCATTCCCCTCCACCCTGCACACCCCCCCACCATTCCTTCCCTTTAGTTTATGACCACATGTCTCAAGTTCTTTAGATTCTATATTTCCCATACTATTCTTGTCCTCCCCCTATCTATTTTCTACCTACTGTCTATGCTACTTATTTTCTGTACCTTCTCCCCCTTTCTCCTTCTCCCACTCCCCTGTTGCTAACCCTCCATGTGATCTTCATTTCTATGGTTCTGCTCCTGATCTAGCTGTCCTCTTAGTTTGCTTTTGCTTTAGGTGTGGTTCTTAATAACTGTGAGTTTGCTGTCCTTTCACTCTTCATATTTTTTATCTTCTTTTTCTTAGGTAAGTCTCTTTCACATTTCATATAATAAGGGCTTGGTGATGATGAACTCCTTGAATTTTATCTTATCTGAGAAGCATTTTATCTGTCCTTCCATTCTAAATGAAAGCTTTGCTGGATAGATCAATCTTGGATGTAGGTCTTCGGATGTCATGACTTGGAATATTTCTTTCCAGCCCCTTCTTGCCTATAAGGTCTCTTTGAGAAAACCACTGACATTCTGATGGGAACTCCTTTGTAGGTGACTGTCCCCTTATCTCTTGCTGCTTCTAGGATTCTCTCCTTCATTTTAATCTTGGCTAATGTGATTATGATGTGCCTTGGTGTGTTTCTTCTTGGGTCCAACTTCTTTGGGACTCTCTGAGCTTCCGGATTTCCTGGAAGTCTATTTCCTTTGCCAGATTGGGGAAGTTTTCCTTTATTATTTGTTCAAATAACTTTTCCACTTGTTGCTGTTCCTCTTCCCCTTCTGGTACCCCTATAATTTGGATGTTGGAGCGTTTAAAGATGTCCTGAAGGTTCCTAAGCCTCTCCTCATTTTTTTGAATTCTTGTTTTTTCATTCTCTTCTGTTTGGTCCTTTTTTCCCTCTTTCTGGTCCACTCCTTTGATTTGAGTCCCAGTTTCCTTTCCATTACTATTGGTTTCCTGTGCATTTCCCTTCATTTCAATTAGTTTAGCCTTCATATGTTCCTCTAATTTGTGACTAAAATCAACCAGTTCTGTGAGCAGCCTGATCACCAGTGTTTTGAACTGTGCATCTGAAAGTCTGTCTATTTCTTGGTCGCTTAGAGTTATAGGCTCTGGGGCTTTGAGTTCTTCTTGAGCCATAATGTTTTGCTCTGTTCACGCCTGTTATGTATGAGGAGCGGAGCCTTAGGAGTTCACCAGGGTGGGGCCACCCAGGTTTATGATGCTGTATGTGGGGGCGGGGTCAGAGAGGGACAGTAGTGGTCCCCTCTGCTGCTTCCCGCTGCTGGGGCCTGCGTGGTCTATCTCACTGCTCGCTCCTTCACTGGTTTATCTGCTCCCGACTATGTGACCATGTTCATCCCTCATTGGGTGCGCCTGCTGCTACTCCACACCTGGGATCCACCCACAGCTGCCTGCATGCCTGGGTCACGTGCCTGGTGGGTCCAGTGGATCTTTCCTGCCCCACCCCACTCTGCTGCTGGCTCTGCCCCTCTTACCCATTTGGCTGAAGGGTTCATTGTTGTCAGACTTCTGTATAGTTCAATTTTCTGTGGTTTGGGTGTGTTTTTGTTGTTAAAACTTTGTTGTTTTTAAACTTGGTTGTGTGAGAAGGTACAATGTTTCTACCTATGCCTCCATCTTGGCAGAAGTCCCTGCAGTCATTTTAATATTGAAGGTAAAAGAAGATACTCGACATTTTTGGCATATTATGCTTTATTGTGTCAAGAAAGGTAAAAATGCAACTGAAACAGAAAAGGATTTGTGCAGCGTAAGGAGAAGGTGCTATGACTGGTTGAATGTGTCAAAAGTGGTTTTGCGAAATTTCTTGGTACTCTTCACATTTTGGCTAAATAATTCTTTACCATGGGGCTGTCTTATGCATTGGAAGATGTTTAGCAGCACCCCTGGGCTCCA